AATTCCGGTGGGAGGCCCTCAGACCAACAGACCAACAGACGGTGCTGCCAGCAAGCAAGGGACCAGAGAAAGCGACTCTAAAGTGACTCCCCAGAGGCACCTGCCATTCCTAAGCTGCCATCGCGCAAGCAAGGAGCTGAGAAACAAAGCAACATCCAGCTGGCTGGAGGCATTCCAGTCGTCTCGCCTTCCTAGGGGAGAAAAGCTGGAATTCAGGGACCCCAGTTGTGAGCTGCCTTCCAGGAGAGCACACCCTCTCCAGAGGAGGCCTGCAGCCTGCACTTTCAGACATAATTCCCAGCATTCCACTGACAACAGACCCAGTGACGAGGCCGAGAGAAACAACACACAGAAGAGGCAGACTCGCCCTGACCGGTTTGGCTCAGTGGAGAGAGCGTCGGCCTGCGGACTCATGGGTCCCAGGTTCGATTCCCGTCAAGGGCATGTACCTTGGTTGCAGGCACATCCCCAGTGGGGAGTGTGCAGGAGGCAGCTGACCGATGTATCTTTCTTCGATGTTTCTGACTCTCTATCCCTCTCCCTCCCTCTCTGTAAAAAATCAATAAGATACATTTAAAAGAGGCAGACTCATCAGTGATCTATGCAATGCAGTTACTTAGAGAAGAAATTTATAATTTTACAGTTAATATATTTAAGAAAACGGATAAAATGATGGAGAATTTCACTAGAATAAACACACACACAAATCATATTAGCACATCAGAGTAAACTGCTGGGAAAAAACCACCTAAATCTAATAACATATAAAAAGGATTATACACCATGACCAAGTGGGCATGTATCCTAGGAATGCAAGATTGGCTTAATATCTGAAAATCAATAAACCATATGAGTAGAATACAGGACAGAAACCACATGATCATCTCAATAAATGCTGAAAAGCTCCCGTCCAATCCAATAACCTATAATGATAAAGACACTCAGCAAACCAGGAGGAGGGCTTCCTCAGTGTGAGGAAGGACAGCTACAAAACCCACAGCAAAAATCACACCTAGCGGCGAGAGACTGAAACTTCCCCGAAGGCCAGGCACAGGACAGGAGGCCTGCTCCCACCACTTCCTCCAATACCACACTGGGAGCTCCAGCCGGGGAAGCTAGGGAAGAGTCAGAAACACAAAGTAACTGGAAAGGAAGAAGTAAACTAACCCTGTTTTCAGAAGATATAATCTTATACATAGAAAATCCTAGGGAATCCACTAAAAAAAAACTATTAGTACTAATAAATGAGTTCAGCAAGATTGCAGGATACAAGATAAATAGACAAAAATTAGTTACACAATGAATAATCTGAATATGTAATTAAGAAAACAGTTCTATTTACAAGAGCATCAACAAGAATAAAATTAACAAAAGAAGCATAAACTTGGTCTCTGACAAATACAAAACAGTGTTGAAAGAAATTAAGGAAGACCTAAATAGATGGGAAGACATCTTGTACTCCTGGATCAGAAGACTAACACCATTAAGGCAACAATGCCCCCAACTGACCTACTGACTCAATGGAGTCTCTATCAATACCCTATTTTTTTTGTGTGTGGAAAGTGATAAACTGGTGCTAAAATTCATATGGAAATGCAAGGGACCCTGAACAGCCCAAATCATCTTGAAAAAGAAAAACAAAGTTTGATGACTCATACTTTCTGATTTCAAAATAATTATAAACTACAGTAACCAAAGCAGTGTGGTGCTGGCCTAAGTACAGACATGTAGGTTAGTGGAACAGAATTTAGAGTCCTGTAATATAAATGCTCTCACTTGTGGTCAATTGATTTTGGACAAGGTAATTCAATGGGAGAAAGAGTAGTTTTTTTCAATAAATAGTGTTGGGACAATTGCATGCCCGCATACAAAAAGAATGAACTTGGACCCATTTGTTACATCACACATAAAAAAACAAATGAACCAGAGGCCTAAAAATAAAACTGAACTTTAAAACTCTCGGGAGAAAACACAGGAGTAAATCTTTGTGATGTTAAGTTTGGCAAAGCCTTCTTAGATGTGACATCAACAACATAAGCAATAAAAGAAAAAAAATATACAATTTGATTTTTATCACAATTTTAAACTTTACTACAAATAAAACCATCAAGAAAATGAAACGATAACCCACAGCCTGAGGGAAAATATTTGCAAATCATTTACTGGATAAGAGACTTCTATCAAGAATATATGAGGAACTCCCATAACTCAATAATAAAAAGATAAATAACCCATTTAAAAAGCAAACAAAGGATCTGAATAGACAGTTCTTAAAAAAAAAAAAAGATATATTAATGACCAGCCCATGAAAATATGCCCCACATCTTAGTCATTAGGGAAATGAGAATGAACCCAGAGATACCCCTTCCTTCCCACTAGCCTGGCTGGAGTGAAAAAGACAGGTTAACCCATGGGCGAGCGTGTGGGAAACGGACCTCAGACGGTCTGGCGAGAATATAAAATGGCGCAGCCACCGTGGAAACAGTTTGACAGCTCCTCAACATGTGAAACCTAGAATCATGTTCAACATTTGACCCAAGCATTCCTCCTAGGTATGTCCCCAAGATAAATGAAGACACATGTCCGTATAAGTTTATACAAATGTTCATAGCAGCGTTATTAATAAAAGTAAAACAGTATCAACAGCCCAAATGGCCATGGGCTGATGAACAGAGACACAAAAGGTGGTATATCCCTACAGTGGAATATTACTTGGAAATAACAAGGCACTAATACATGTTACTTTATGGGTGTATCTTGAAAACAGTACGCTAAGTGAAAGAAGACAGCCACAGAGAGTAAGTGCTGCATTACTCATTTGTATGAAATGCCCACAATTAACTAATTTATAGACGGAGGAAGATGAATGGTTGTCTTGGGTGCAGCGTCAGAACTGGGAGTGCTATAAGCTAAAGGCTACGCGCTCCCTTTTGGGAGGACGCGATGTCCTAATGTTAGACGTGGTGAGGGTTGCACAAGGCTGTGAATCAACTAAGAACTACTGAACTGTGTGGTCCAGATGGGGAGCCGTCACTTTAAAGGGGTGGACTGTACGCTATGTGAATGATACGGCATAGAGCTCATGAAGACGCTTGCACACGGGGACATGATGGAAGCACTCTGAACGCCTGAGTGTCGACCACGACGCTGGTGTGTCACGTGGGCTCTCCCACACGCCGGTCTCCCTCCGCCCACCACAGTGCCCATGGGGTCTGGCCAGTGACCAGCTGAGCCCTGTTGCTTTCATCGTCTGACTCACGCTGTAAGGTCTCCCCTCACAGACAGTCTATAAACGTGACTCAGCAGCAGCACCCACAGATGCCAGATCGGTGACGAGCAGCTTCACAGAAGGCCCCTTAGTCAATTCTGTGAAGTCGTGAAGCGTGACTACTGGTTACAACACACTTTGTAATAGAAAATATTTGTGGAGCTTGATGTTACAAACGGAAACTAAGGTCATATTTTAACCTTTGCAAAAAATATAATAGTTTCAAATGTGTAACTTGACAGTGAACACCATGTGTAAAAATAGAAACTTAAGTCAAAAGGTTGTTCGTGTCACCCAAAGCAACGCGCCTCCACGTCAGGCTATGTTTATGGAAGTGTGAGCAGAAACAAGTGATTCTTTATCAACTTGAAACAGCGGGAAGTTATCTTTCCTTCCTCTTGGAAGCGGGAGGAAGGAAGGATAGCGAGAGTGAATGAAGCACGCTGGCATCACGGCCTTCTATCCCGTGTTAGTTTATTAAACGGCAATGACCTTCTTCTCTCATTTTGACTCACCAGGTCTATGGGCTCCACCAATGGCTGGTTTGGTTGGAATACTGAATCCTCGTGTTCTTCTTCATTTGTTTTAGAGGGCATTTGCTTAGAAGGAAGCAGATTATACCACAGAGTGAAAATCTCATTGGAAAACGGCAAGTCGGCCAGACTGATCTGAGTTCCAGCCTGTGGGAGGCGAGAGAAAGAAAAGAGAGGAGATAGAATGTTTAAATCCACATCTGCCCCTGATATAATCAAGATTATTGGGCAAGCTTGTTTTAGGGTTAAAAAAAAAAGCAATATCCATGATATAAAGCATTACATTATTTTAAAAACCTGAAGATGTCTTATGTTTTCAGGTGTGACTGAATAAGAAATGATCCCAATCTAAAAGCGAACTCTGGCCCAGTCGGTGGCTCAGTGGTTGAGCGTCGACCTATCAACCAGAAGGTCACTGGTTTGATTCTCTGTCAGGGCACACACCTGGGTTGTGGACTTGATCCCCAGTGTGGGGTGTGCACGAGGCAGCCGATCAATGATTCTCCCTCATCACTGATGTTTCTATCTCTCTCTCCTTCTCCCTTACTCTCTGATATCAATTAAAATTTTTTTATAAAATATTAAAAAATAAAAGCCAATTCTGGGATTGTTTTGTGAGACACTGTTTTGCCACAACCTAATGACTAAGCATGCAACATTTTGTAAGTGTGAAATTTTTTTTTAAAGTTTAAAAATACAAATGACTAAGTACAAATCATAATGCATTTTAGGTTATGAGTGATCTGATTATTATTTACAAAAGTCCATTATCTACTGAAAAAGGTAAAAACAAACAAAAAACTCCATGGTGGTTCTTAAATGAGAAATTAGAAAAATTTTTCTTTAACTAAGTTAGAATATAAAAAAAAATAGGTTAAAAGTTTTAATATTTCACCAAATCACAGTTTCAACCAGGATCTAAATTAAACTGTATCATTTTATAAGAAAATCACTTAACATATTTATTAACTTTATGGAGCTGCTAACACATATATTTATACTAAACCTTTCTGACAGCCTACTTAGTCTATCTTTGCTTCTTGCTTTAAAAAATTTTTTTGTTAATCCTCACCCGAGGATATTTTTTCATTGATATTTTAGGGAGAGTGGGAGGGAGGGGGAGAGACAGAGAGAGAGAAACATGGATGTGAGAGAGACACATGGATTGGTTGCCTCCTGAACACGCCCAACCAGGGCCGGGATAGAGCCTGCAACCGAGGTCTGTGCCCTGGACCAGAACTGAACCCTGGATCCTTCAGTCTGTGGGCCAACGCTCTCTCCACTGAGCAAACCAGCCAGGCATCTTTGCTTCTTTCTAACTGTCTTCACTGTCAGACAATACCAGGCATTTTTACATACAGACAAAACATGAGTAAGAGATCTTTCACTGTTCAGCTTTGTGCGTGGGGACAGGTGTTTGTCTCCCCTGCACCTCGGGAAAGGCTCAGTGAGAGACCCACCGTTCACCCAGCGCGTTGGAGCACCGTATTTCACTCGTGTGGAATGGATTTCTGGTGTGATGCACGACAGTGCGTTAAAGTCACTGTCAGTTGTACGAAGTCTTCTGCTTTAGCATTTATATGTCATAACTGCCCTAAGTAACAATGCGCATGTCTTCCTAGAATCTAGGACCTAGATGCTCTGCTACCAAGGCTGGGAGAGTGAGCTGAACACAGGGACCCTATACTCAGTGTCTTGCTCAATTTAAGTTTGTGACAGTGAATTGTGTGTGGGGTTATTTGGTGGCTCTCTCTGTGGTTCTTTATTGAAAATAGAGGCGACCAAACCTCTTTTATACAAGTGATGAGGATTTCATGAGATATATGTACAGAGCACCCAGCACAGACTCGTACTGAGTAACAAGCTCCCAGTGACAGACAGACAGAGGTCAGAGGGTAGGAAGGGAAAGCAGCCTTTACAGAGTCACCACGCAGAAGCAGAGGTCAAAGGTCTGGAAAAAGAACGAAAACCTGAGATCACGCCTTCACATGGAAGCTGAGACAGCCACTGGGGGTGTCGGAGGCCTTGGGTGGGTGTGTGGTGACGACGGGGCGGCACACAGCAACCAGAAACCCTGGGGGTGTCCGGGCGAGGGTCCCAGGGGCAGGACCGGGGCCACCCACCAGGCACTCTTCCGCGCGGTGTGCGCGGGCGCAGCACAGGTCCACGCGCAGCGTCTTCTGCTGCAAGGCCGCCTGCGAGATGGCCACTCGGAACATGTCGCTGAACAGAAGGGGTTCCGTGGCCGGGTGCACCTTTGTTCGAAACAGACAGCTGACGTCCGTGGAGGAGGGGAGCAGAGCAACCCTGAAATACCTGCAGAGACGAGAGAGCAAATGGCCGAAACCGGTTTGGCTCAGTGGATAGAGCCTCGGGCTGCGGACTGAAAGGTCCCAGGTTCGATTCTGGTCAAGGGCATGTACCTGGGTTGCAGGCACATCCCCAGTAGATGTGCAGGAGGCAGCTGATCGATGTTTCTCTCTCATCGATGTTTCTAACTCTCTATCTCTCTCCCTTCCTCTCTGTAAAAAATCAATAAAATATATTTAAAAAAAAAAGAGAAAGCAAAAGACTTCAGGGCCCTGCAGCCACAGCGGGTTCACCGCTGCAAAGAGAGAAACAGGGGGGATGGACTCATATCAACGTAGAGCCCTGCTGCCGTCCCAAGTCCGTCCTGCTCTGCGACACAGGCCCTGCTCCCAGCCCGCCCCTGGCCACAGCCAGCCACACTCATGGGCCCCAGCCAACCACACCCAAGGGCCATAGCCAGCCACACTCATGGGCCATAGCCCACCACACCCAAGGGCCACAGCCAGCCACACTCATGGGCCCCAGCCAACCACACCCAAGGACCATAGCCAGCCACACTCATGGGCCATAGCCCACCACACCCAAGGGACACAGCCAGCCACACTCATGGGCCATAGCCAGCCACACCCAAGGGCCACAGCCAGCCACACTCATGGGCCCCAGCCCCCTGGCCACAGCCAGCCACACTCATGGGCCCCAGCCAACCACGCCCAAGGGCGACAGCCAGCCACACTCATGGGCCATAGCCCACCACGCCTAAGGGCCACAGCCAGCCACACTCATGGGCCATAGCCCACCACGCCCCTGGCCACAGCCAGCGCACATGCAGGAAGTCGAAGGCCGACAACACCATGGGACAGACACGCTGAACACCCCACCCGCCCATGTACAGCCAACTCCACTGTAAGTGATTTCTGAGCCTGGGGAGGGAGGGACCCATTAGGTGACGTGGTCCCAAGAGCATCGTCCTGAGTCCTTAATGAGAGATGGCGGTGAGCACGTCCCGGAATGTAACACATTGTCCTGCCAGAGGAGAAGGGCCGAGGAGCATTCTGGGCCAAAACTTAAAACAGATGGGCTTCCACAGCCCAGTCTAGCATCTCAGAAGCATCAGACATGACAACCTGTGTTAGACTCTATGCTTTGCAACATTCAGAAGTTAGAGAGAAACAAGTTGTAATACTACCTTAAAGTGAAGTTCCTGAGCGCACAGTCTACGAGGACTCACAACCCTTGGAAACTGCACGAGATGCTTCCTTTTAAATCCCAGGAAGAGAACACCCACTGAGCCCTCCCGCCCACGGCCAGGCCTGTGGGAGGCGTGTTCTAGATGCCTCTCCATGAATCACTGCACACGCACACGCGGACTGAGGAGGGCACAGCGGCTGTGTTATGTCCACACTGACCGTGGAGCTTCAGCGCCAGAGCCTGCTGGGCCCGGGGCTGGGCTGGGCTGGGGGCCGGCAGCATCTTCCCCGCCTCCGGGGACCAGCACGCGGAGAGCTGGGGGAGGGAAGGCTGGCTCCTTCGCCAGACCTCAGTGCTACGCACCAGCCGCCTCAGAACCACTACGCGTCCCTAAAACGTTCCCGTGGAAACAGGTTTTTTGTGGTTTACAGCAAATGGCACTAAACGGGGGGCGGGGGGGTGCTTTTCTCTCGCCTGCAGGGCTCCCCTCCAACCTGCGGCCAGGAGCCCCAACAGGCACACTCCGCAGGCGGTAACTCGCAATGAACAGGGAGTTCTGAGTTGGAGGAAAAGCAGCTGTTTTAAGGCCACGTCACCCTGGTCCCCGTCTTTGCAGGCCATTTTCTGGGGCTCGAGGTCAAGGCTGAGCATCGCAGCCCCTGCCACACACAGCCCAGCATTTACAGTTTCTTGAAAAGTGAGATAAAAAGTCCTGGTTCCTGTTCTTAATAATGAACCGGCTGAACAACAATCAAAACCCCAATGCTTCACATTCCCCCTTCCTCTGGTCCATCTGCTGCCGGTAGGTCCGGCGCCCGGCTCCGTGTCTGCACGCCGCCGGAGGGACCGCTTGGTGACAGCGCACATGTCTCCCGTGGACGGTTTCGACGGCCGCCATTTGCTCCTCACTGGTTTACTTACACTTTTGAAGTATGAGGTATCAGGAAGGCATGGAGATTCCGGAGTTGTGCTATAATCACCATGAAACTGGCCCTTTTCGCATCGTATCTGTGGAAAGAGAGGCTGATGAAGCGAGGAGCGCGCCCAGGCCGGTGGTCCCGCCCTGAATTCTAGGCCCGCCCTGCCCGCGCCCAGCTTTACCTGAGCCCGATCTGCACCTGCGCCGTCTCCATGACGACGCCAGCATCCTCTTCACCGTAGGCAACGTCTCCCACTTCACTGGGTCTGGGAACCGGAGACAGGGGCGCAGGAGAGCGGCTCATTAATGGGGAGCTCGATGGTACGGTTACCATCTGCCACTGGACCAACTTGAGTGAAAACCCGAATTCCCAGCGCCCGGAGGGGCGCTCACTCAGCTCTCCCTCACCTTGTCAGGAGGGTCTGTCTCGGACCCTTTAGGGCAGCGGTTCTCAATCTGTGGGTCGCGAACCCTTTGGGGGTCGAACGACCCTTTCACAGGGGTCGCCTAAAACCATTGGAAAACACATATATAATTACATATTGTTTTTGTGATTGATCACTATGCTTTAATTATGTTCAATTTGTAATAATGAAATTGGGGGTCACCACAACATGAGGAACTGGATTAAAGGGTCGCGGCATCAGGAAGGTTGAGAACCACTGCTTTAGAGGAACGACTTTCTGGTGCCTCTGTGGGGTACACTGCACCCCTGCACACATTCCCAGCTCCCAAAACCTACTCGGGAGCTGATGGCCACGTAGGTGGCCAGCCCCTCCAGCATCCTCATCCAAGTCAGGGTAAGTCTCAAGGAGACGTGTCTGAGGAAGGACAGCCCCTGCTTGTCCCTCCCTGTGACATGCTATCCCTCCGTGACATGCATGTCTGTCCCTGTGACATGCTGTCCCTTCCTGGCTGACATGCATGTCTGATGCTGTGACATGCTGTCCCTTCTGGCTGACATTCATGTCTGACCCTGTGACATGCTGTCCCTTCTGGCTGACATGCATGTCTGTCCCTGTGACATGCTATCCCTCCGTGACATGTGTGTCTGTCCCTGTGACATGCTGTCCCTCCCTGGCTGACATGCGTGTCTGTCCATCCCTGGCTGACATGCATGTCTGTCCCTGCCTGGCTGACATGTGTGTCTGTCCCTGTGACATGCTGTCCCTCCCTGGCTGACATGCGTGTCTGTCCATCCCTGGCTGACATGCGTGTCTGTCCCTGGCTGCGGACCATCTTTAACACAGACTGACATGTGCAGGCACATGTTTTCTCAGAGCTGCCCCAGAGGCTGCAGGAGAGACTGACGGTGGCGGGACGCCCTGGCCTGTGACCCACACGTGCTTGGGTGGGGGTGACAGGGGAGCTCCCCGCTGCACGGGAGCCTTACTGCTTCACGAAGCCTTCGTAGACGCCGCTGTCTCCCGCCACCGACTCGTCCGACACGGCCGCCGACACGCACGCGGTCCTCTCCCCGAGCAAGTGCGCGCCTCTCCTCTTGGGTGCCTTTTCCACGTCTGCGGGGAGAGGGCGCTCATGAGGTTTCTGATCAGGACACGTTAGTGTAAAATACGCACACGGTGTGGTTCTGGGATCCAAACGGAAACCCCCGAGAAGCAAGGAGGTGACTATTCACACCAGTGGGCATGGTGGCCCGGGGTTCCGTGACTGACACGGCTCCCGGACAGTCCTGGCCTGGGTCTGATGAAGAAGTGGCTTTCCAGAACCAGTCTGAGGCGTGAACCGCACACTGCACACTACCCTCACGTCTGGTGTAGGCGTTCACCGCAGGTACCGCGTGTGCGTGGGGGTGGGGGATCCGCCCGCCCCCCAGCATCAGAGACCGAGCGCCCAGTGCCCGGCAGGAAAGGACCCCTGCTCCCTCTCCACACGAGGGCCTCCATCTCCCACAGCTCCCCGTCTCCACACGCAGGGCCTCCATCTCCCACGGCTCCCCCTCTCCACACGCAGGGCCTCCATCTCCCACAGCTCCCCCTCTCCACACGCAGGGCCTCCATCTCCCACAGCTCCCCCTCTCCACACGCAGGGCCTCCATCTCCCACAGCTCCCCCTCTCCACACGCAGGGCCTCCATCTCCCACAGCTCCCCCTCTCCACACGCAGGGCCTCCATCTCCCACAGCTCCCCCTCTCCACACGCAGGGCCTCCATCTCCCACAGCTCCCCCTCTCCACACGCAGGGCCTCCATCTCCCACAGCTCCCCCTCTCCACACGCAGGGCCTCCATCTCCCACAGCTCCCCCTCTCCACACGCAGGGCCTCCATCTCCGTAGAAGTCAGAGAGGAAAAGTCCTCCACACAGAGAATTGCTCATCAGCTAATGTCATTTTTTTTTTTTTAATAAAACCTTTGTGCTCCTGAGTCTTTGGCACCAGCAACCACTTGCCGTTGGGTCTACCTCCTGGCCCTGGTGTGCCCCCGCTTCTGCGCCCTGACTGTACACCTCAGGAGGAGGTTGGGGGTTACAGCTTCAGGTGACGCGCTGATGGCTGGCGACGGGACTGCTTCCCCTGGAGGACGGAGTGCCTTCTCTCCGCCCACCCCCACGAAGGGGTGAGGGTGACACACGACTTATCGATCAGGCCCAGGGGCAACCAGGCCGCCTGAGACCGACTCTGACAGAGAGGCTGACCATGAAGGACGGGGACTTATTCCAGCTCCGTGTCTGTCTCCAGCTGGGACTGCTGGGAGCAGAGTGAGTATAAAAGGAACCCGGCTGCACCCGCAGGGGACTCCAGGGCATGGAGGGGCAGACACCGTCCCTGCTGAGCCACCCGCCTCACACGAAGGTCAGACACGGCCAAGAAATGGAAGGCCCTTGGTCCACGCACAGAAGAGCGGCACAAAGCACCTGCTTCTCCCTCTCCTCTCGTGATGCCAGAGGTTTGTAGGACCAGGGCCGGCAGCGTGACCCCTCTCGCCATACATCATCGTAATTCCCGTAAACCAGTGCGGGACAGCCCGCCCGCTGGATGCCTCATGGACACGCACCCCCTCCAGCCCCGCAGGAGTAGAGATGCACCTTCCCCCTTTCCCAGGAGGAACAATCCCCGGGGAGACGGGGTGCCATGCTGGCCAGGACACGCCAGCCAGCGGGCAGCCACCATGCGAGCAGGCGAGGCTGGCTCCCGGGGGAGCTCCCGGCACCCCGGGCTTTGTGCTTTGGAGCCCCTGCGGGAGCCCCACTCCTGCGCTATTTCCTCGTGGCTGACTGTTTCAGAAAAGCGTGACTTGGGCTCTGGCACCGGCCAGGCATCAGCACACGAGCCACACAGATGCTCCTGTGCCCGCCTCTGCCCCCGCCCCAGGCCCCGGGCGGGCAGGGTCTCCGTCTTCAGGGATGGAAACCACGCAAACAAGATGGATTCTTCTATCTCCTTAAACATCTGAACTGGCCAATCAAGTGATAGTTAGACTCCTAGGACCACGAAGACCCATTAAACAGGCTCCTGGAAACAGCAAGAAAACGCCCGTGAGGAGGCCGTGCTCTGGCGTGTCGCAGGCAGTCACGCGTGCAGTGTGGACAGGGCGCCGGGGCCACGCGGGGGCTACTTCTGCTTCGTTTCAGGCCAGTGCCATGGCAGACCGCCCTCCTCGACCACAGCTGTGCTTGGGTGCCAACAGGGCACCACTGTCCTCTCTGTAGCCACATCGGCTCCGCAGGGGGAAACTACCCCGGAAAAGAGAAGTCTCCGTTCCTGAGTTCCTGTCTGAGCAGAACTGAGGAAGAGCTGCTGCCTCCCGCCCTGCAAGGAGCACGGAGGCCAGCAGGTGGCAGCGCGACACCGTCCCTGGCCGCCCTACACCAGGCACAGGGCAGCGGGTCTGCGAGCGTCTTGCTGGAAACAACCGTGTTTGTACAGAATCCCCGGGGCCTGAACACCGAGCCGGCACTAACGACAGGATGCTAATGGCTTTGGTTCTCGTCTGGTTCGGGCCAGCTCTGCACAGAAAGCCCTTCTCTCGCCCTTGTCCTCCCAGAACCGAAGCTGCCTGAAGTGTCACGTGTCCACACATACAGGGGGTCGGACAGCAGAACAGAAACCAGTGACTAAATCACCACCCAGGGAAGGCGCTTCCTATTTGATAAAGAAAAGTGTCTAGGGATATCTCCTAAACACGCCTTGGATGAAGCAAATTAAAAAGAGCAGGGGGACTAGCACCGCTGGTGTAAGTGGAAAAAGTCACCCTCCCATCATTCCCCTTAGATGGCCCAGTGGGGACTAGGCCAGCGACGCCCACGGGTACCTGTGGCGCCTTCGTAGAAGGGCTCCCTGGCGCCTTCGCGCAGGTCTTTGTCCTCTAACAGGGCCTGGGGCGCGCCTCCCGCGTCGGCGTCCAGCAGGGTCTGGCTGTCGCCGAGGCCCATGTCTGCGAAGTGGCTGCTCACGTCGCAGTCGTCAAAGTCGGTGGTGAACCGGTGGAGAGGGGCGTCGTGGGACAACATGGGGAAGGTGCCTTCCAGCACCAGGGGGGAGCCGGGAGGGGACAAGGAGGACAGGGAGGACCGCGAGGACAGGGACGTCACAGACTTGGGGGCCTCGGCCAGCGGGGGTGCGGGGCCCACGGCGGCCGCCCCGCAGGGACCGCTCTGGCCGGGCTGGCTGGGGGACTTGACCACTTCGTTCTCATGGATGGTGGTGATGGGCCCAGAAGGGACGTAACCGCCCTTTTCTTGCAGGAGGAAGTCCAGTTTGTACTGATAGTCGGCGTCGAGCTGGTCACCCGGGCTGGTGTAGTAGAGCTCGCTGGAGCTGAGGGAGTTGAGCGAGCCCCTGCTGGAGGTGTTCAGGGACCCCCGGCTGGAGGCCAGGGAGCCCAGGCTGCTCCCGGACGACACGGACAGGGTGCTGGCGGAGAGGCTGCGGGAGGAGAAGCGCGATGGTCAAAACTGGACTCATCAGGAAGCCCAGGCCCAGCCCCGCTGGCTCTTCAGACCCCGTGAGGCCAGAACGGCCCAGTGATGGGCTGCTTCATGAACACTGCAACCTGGCTCTCCGCTACTCTCTCAGCAGTAACCCTGCTCTCATTCAAAACCACCCCCTCTCGCAGAAGACACAAAAGCGGGGGACTCAAATCCCTATCGGCAAATCTACCCGCACAAGGATCCAGAAGCAAGGATGTAATTTAAAATACAGACGGGTAAACAGGACCAAGTGCTAGTGCGGTCACTTTGCTGAACAAATGCCACTTTCTGAGAGAAATGAGGCGCAGTGAGGAAGACAGAGCAGACAGAGTTGGGCTCCCCCCTCTCCCCTCTCGTGTGTGTTGAAATAGTGACAATGTTCTCTGACGTAGCTGCCCCGCCCCCCCTTTCAAAAGAAGGGCTGATGTGGAGAAAACATGTCATTTCCCTAAGTGTGTACTTAGCTAAACACACATGCTTCCCACTAGATATTTCAAATGTGTTCCAAATGCCACCTTGAGGCTCATGAAAGAAAAGTCTATGCAACCTTAAGTTTGGTCATTCAGGTTTGAATTGTACAAGTATAACTTACGTGCCTTTCTTTTATTTATTTATTTATTTTTAAAATATATTTTATTGATTTTTTACAGAGAGGAAGGGAGAGAGATAGAGTTAGAAACATCGATGAGAGAGAAACATCGATCAGCTGCCTCCTGCACATCTCCCACTGGGGATGTGCCCGCAACCCAGGCACATGCCCTTGACCGGAATCGAACCTGGGACCCTTCAGTCCGCAAGCTGACGCTCCATCCACTGAGCCAAACCGGTTTTGGCACGTTCCTTTCTTTTAAACCGTTGAACATAAATAAAGAGAAAAGCAATCAAAGGTGGACGAAAACATTCCTGAATGTCGCCAGGAAAGGACGTCCCCTCGAGAGCCGGAGAGACTTGCCTTTTCAGCTCTGAGTGCAGGTAAGTAGTTAATTTGGTCGTTTCTTCGAGTTTCTGGAGCAGCTCCTTCCTTCGCTCTTCCAGTTTCAATCTAGAAAAAAACCACAGAAATGAATTTATATTTTCAAATGACGATGAGAAAACACAGAGACTGAAGGGGAAGATTATCATCATACAAACATTACGCGCCCCGAGGGGGGGGGGGCGCCTGTGAACTTGATGGCAAGGGAGCTGCCCCGGCAGGAAGCGAAGTGGGCAGAAGCACCTCGTTAGCATAACTGAGGATGCTGTGAATTTGGTTTTCTATAATTTTCTTCAACGGGCGAAAAACCTCATGGTCTTGTGAATTACAGAAAGAGAGTGAGAAGGAAAACAAGGCACTAACCGAGATCACAGACTCCCACAGGCCCGTGCTGGGCCCCAGTCCTAAAACAATGTAACAGCAATAACGAGAATCAGAAAAGGTCACCGAGGTACTGAATAGGTGGAGACTGTGCCAAAGGAATGTTCAGTGATAAAGATTCCAATCTTAATTCGACGGGAACGTTAGTGATTAAGAAACCAATTAGTCCAAATGTCTGTGCAAGAGAGACATAGCTATGACTATCCCTCCGTCCGCAGGACAGCCCTCGCCGCACCAGACCATCATGAAGCTCCGTGTACTTCACTGCAGTAGAGTCGGGGTTTGTGAAAATCAGATGTTCCGGAACTGTGTACGCGAAGAAGCCATTGGAAAACACACTCAGCTCCCAGGTTAGGCAGCTAGGAGCCTGCACGAGGGCCGCTGCGTCATCTCAGGGCCCTCAGACGTCATGGAAACGAGCCATTCAGAGGGGTGCACGGGCTGCGGCAGGGGACACGGAACACCACGGTGTGCCGGCTGGTGCTGTGCTGGCTGTGCGTCCTCAGGAGAGCCACTCGTCCAGGCCTCAGCCTACTCATCTGTGCAATGGGGAGCACACCCCCTGAGCCTGCCTGTGAGGCTGTGGAGGCAACCAAGTGGGGAGAGTGTGTGGGGCGCGCTCAGCCGTCAACACAGACCAGCCCGCTCAGAGCCTCACGCCTTGCAAGGTGGCGATATAAACATTAACTCCTCTCCTGGGAAGAAAAAGAAAATTTCCCTAATTTCCAGCTCCTTTGAAATGTTATGTATGTTTTAGGCAGTAAGAAAACATGCCCATATTTTATTTATAGGTATTTTTCCTTTGATGTGTCACCAACGCAATTTCATTATATGTTAAAATAAAAAAAGTCATTCCTGTCATTTTGTTTAGGACTTCAAAGGGTGGTAAATTCTTAATTCACAGCTTTCAAAGGTGGATTTTGAAAAGGAGTACAGACCGTACTTTTAAAATCTCTTAAACATAAATCAGGACTCAACAAGGAAAAATATTAATACAAACAGATAAAAGGAAGGAAGGTCTGGAGAAAGGCCCCGTCTCCTCAGAGCCAGCAGAGGCCTAATTACGGACAAATCTACACAGTGCACAAGCGAACGAAGGCTCTTCCTGGTGTGTGAAGGGGGCAACAGCACGACGTTAGTGTGTTTCACGCTAAAATGTGAAATCCGTCTGGCTGTGTGGCTCAGTGGTTGAGCATTGACCAACGAACCAGGAGGTCACGGTTCGATTCCTGGTCAGGGCACATGCTGGGCTGCGGGCTCCATCCCCAGGGGAAGGAGAGGGGCCGGTGAGGCGCCCCGGTCCTTTAAGACAGAACAGGCCGGCATCTGCAGAGGCTTCCCCCTGTCACACCCTCTCCTGTGCCCTAAGGCGTGAGGCGGCCAGGCCAGGGCAGGTCCCCACTCCCTGCTACCAGCCCCGCCTGACTCAGACCACCCAGAACTTTGCAGGTAGGCACATGTTCAGGTCACCTGCTGAAATAATAAGTCCCTTTTCGTTAAAAAATAGAGGACACTCATACTCCACCTGCCTGAGAGATGGACTGTCGTTCACTGCTGTGCAAACACTGCCAAGCACAGGTATACAAGCCCGGGTGCGAGCCTGCCCACACCTGGGCCACACGGGCAGCCCGTGGCGCCAGGGCCACACGCCTGCACAGCAGGTTACTGCACAAAAGCACGAGAGCAAATCCAGCACAAGAGACAACGCTGCGATTGAGGGACACAGTAAACACGAGATGCAAGAGGCTACGGTGATGTAACACGGCATACCGGTTGTTGTTTTTAAGTGCTCTTTTTTGAAGTGCTCTAAAAAATGTTGGTTTTTAACAGCAAACTTTTAAAAAGTGCTCTCTCTAGAGTACACTCAAATGTAACCATAAAACAGTTTACTATGGGTGTCTATGCAGCTAGGAGCCGGCACGAGGGCCGCCTGCGTCTTCTAAGGGTCCTTAGACGTCATGGAAACGAGCCATTTCAGAGCGGTGCACAAGCTGCAGCAGGGGACCTGGAACTGGGTGTGCTGTGCTGGCTGTGCATCCTTAGGACAGCCACTCAGGCCAGGCCTCAGCCTTCTCATCTGTGAAATGGGGAGCTCAGTCCGACTGAGCCTGCCAGCAAGCTTTTTAAAAGGGCTCTTTCTAGAGGACATTCAGATATAATGACAGAAACGTACAGTGTGGCAAGTACACACAGCAGCCATTTATCGTCATCACCAGCTACTCTGTACTGTATGTAACTGTGTGCTCTGCGCCCACACGACTGGCAGCGCAGTGGGTCTGGCTACACCCGTGTCACCACAAACACGTGAGTACCGTGTTGTACCACACCCCTACGATGGCTATGGCGCCACCAGGTGTAGGGGTTTTTCAGCTCCATTATAACCTGGAGACCACCGTTGTATATGTGGTCCAGCATTGACTAAAATGTCCTTATGTGGTGCACGACTACATGAAGAAATAATTAAAACATCTGGGCAGGATACGAGAGAAAGCCTCTAAGATCTGTGAGAAAGAGGGAGCAATGTTAAGACCTTGTCGGTGTGGGAAAGCACGGAGCAGGCATCTTGGTAACTGTGGACAGGATATGAGAAGCCCCGCACTTCTTTCACTTGGGAGCAATTTCTTTGCTGAGGGTCCCTCCCTGAGCAGGTCTCTTTCCGACATGCTTTGCCACCACCAGGGGGCGAGCTCAGCCACCGCTGTCCGGAGCCAGGGGCACAGGTCACAGAACAGAGCTGCTGAAAACGCACAGGTTCCGACAGTTATCACCTATGTGCGAACCAAAGCTTAAAAGCCAACGTCTGAGCAGTCAGAACAAAGGAAACAGCTACTGCTACTTCATCAGTGATCTCTGAGCTCCAGCCCTGATCGGAAAGCGACTACAGCAAACCAACCAATGGCCTGCCTTTCTTTCCCCCAGGACACGGGTGAGGGCTGTGTCCCGCCCTCCCAGCCCCACAGACTGAGCAGAGAGGCTGAGGACTCAGTCTCCCACAGGACAGGTGCTGTACGATAGGTAACATTTAGCAAGTGCTACGCACCACTCAGAACATCACGGGCGTTTTATACACGGGCCACACAAGGCTACCCATTCTTCATAGTTACTGATGATTGTCACTTTTATCCTAGAAATGACAGGTGTCCAAACGCAGACACCCACCACCAGGTACCTCGGGAAACAACTGCCTCCTGCCTCACACCCTCCCTTTTTGTTCCTCTGTCTTGGCCACGGGGACCCTTCCCTGCCCGCCCTGCTCAGTCTGCCTCGGGCCGAGGGGCTGAGCTCCATCAGCTCCTCCAGACGCCAGCGCAGGAGCAGGCGGGGAAGGAGGGGGGCCGGTGAGGCGCCGCGGTCCTTTAAGACAGAACAGGACGGAATCTGCAGAGGCTTCCCCCTGGCACACTCTCTCCTGTGCCCTAAGGTGGGAGGTGGCAGCTGCGTGTGATCTTGACCAACATTTTCACTTACAAAGGCCAGTTCTCCCAGGGCGGTTAGACGCAGGGCAGGCAAGTCCACCCAACCTGGGATGCCACCTAACCTAGGATGTCAAGAGACTTATTTTTCCCTCCTCCATCCTCCCCACCACCCTGTTTTATTTTTATTGATTTCAGAGAGGAAGGGAGATGAGAGAGAGAAACATCAATGATGAGAGAGAATCACGGATCAGCTGCCTCCTGCACGCCCCACACTGGGGATCGAGCCTGCAAGCAGGAATCAAGCTGTTTTCTCTTGGTTTACAGGTCAACACTCAACCACTGAGCCACACTGCCGACTCATGTTTTGGTATTACGTAGACACAGGACCTTACACATTTATAGAGCACAAGGAACTAGACGGCAAGGAGCCGAGAAGGCACAAAAAGTAGAGGGACTGGGTCCGGCTGGTACTGGGACGTCACCTCCAGTCATGTGGGATTACACGAAGGTGAGTTTCTTCCCTGTCACCTTGGACTGGGCACTGCTCCTCCCTGTTGGCCTGAGGGTGTGTGGTGGCTCAGGTGCCCCCGGTCCATGGCTGGCACAGGTGTCGGCTGTCAATCAGGTGCAGATGAGCGCCTGTCACACCGACACCCGGGGTCCCCTGCCTAACAGTCCTGCTGATCCGACTGCAGAACCGGATTTTTAAGATTAAATGATCAATTCACACCTTCCCGCAGGGATGAGGAAACCGCTGTACATGTCACCTCCTGCAGAGGAGGGTCTCCACGGGCAAAGTCCACGAGGACATTGTGACCTGGGGAGAGGGCCAGGGAGTGAGCTGACCTTCCTTGTGAAATGAGAAGTAACTCCTTTTGCATCCTTGTGAGTAATGAACCCAGAAGAGGAAGCCTGGGGGCTCCCACCGTCCAGGTAATCTCGCTCATCAGGGGCTGGGTTTACAGTGCGGTTACCAGCTGCGGTCATGACGCTCTGCGTCCTTCGCTTTCAGCCCCTGCCTCGGCACCTTCCCGATCCTCACAGACCGGAGGAGCTGTGGGACGCGGGACTCGAGGGACAGCGGATGGGTGCCTGACGGCTGGACAGGAAGAGCCACCGGGCACAGTGCACTGAGAGCACCGAGCCCAGGGGCCGGGCACCATCCAGCTCGTCGCGGGTGCGTTTCTGCGGAGTGACGAACTGCAGCTCCTTCAGCAGCTCTTCCTTCTCGTGAATCAGCATCAGCTTCTCCTTCTCAACATCCAGCGCCCCGGGCCAGGCCTCACTGTCCAGCTTCGACAGCTCGATCTTCAGGTTGGCCATGCTGGGCAGAGAGGAGAGGCGAGCGTGAATGCAGAGCTCCGAGAGGAGGAAACAGCCGGGCTACGGCGGGTGGACGCTAAATTCCCGTGAGCCCCCCGAGGGGGTGTGAGCCCCACAGGGGAGTGAGCCTCACAGGGGTGTAAGCCTCCCAGGGGTGTGAGCCTCACTAAGGGGTGTGAGCCTGGCCAGGGGTGTGAGCCTCACTAAGGGGTGTGAGCCTGGCCAGGGGTGTGAGCCTCACTAAGGGGTGTGAGCCTCACTAAGGGGTGCGAGCCTCACTAAGGGGTGTGAGCCCCCCCCAGGGTTGTGAGCCTCACTAAGGGGGTGTGAGCCTCACAGGGGTGTGAGCCCCCCAAGGGGTGTGAGCCCCCCCCAAGGGGTGTGAGCCCCGTTAGTCTCTGGGCCTGGCTCTGTGTGTAGCTGTCACCACGTCACTGTCCCACCTTTCAAGTCTGGTGAGCACACCCCCCTCTGAGAAAAGGGTGAAGGTCACAGCACGCAGAAGCTCCAAAGCAGGGGCTCCGGGACCCTGGCAGGTGGCGGAGGAGACCCGGAGGCCCCCACTAAAAGCTGCGGTTCCCCGAGTGCCACCGTTACAGAGGTGAGACGCTGTCCCCAGGGTGGCTTGGGGGACTGGCACAGGAGCCAAGAGGGGCAGGAGGAGGGAGAAGCGCGGGGGGGGGGCAC